AGTTATCATCAGAGCGTCGTGGACTTCTTTCTGGTGTCATGTTGCTCAACTGGATGCTTTAAATCGTCCCCACAGACGGYGCCAATTGTTGATGCGTGGATTTTGGTCCTCCARTTCTCCTCCTCGCACCCACCAAACTTGTTGATTCGGGACTAGTACCTGCAAAACCAAATCGAGCTAAACCGGTGTGACTCTAGTCACACGGGCTCCGATGCTTAAGTTAGCAAGAGAATAACGTAAATGTAGTCAACTTTTAGATGCCCCTACCTCTAAGGCTGGATCGCTACTTATAGCGTGAAGTTGTTCCAGAACTTTCCGTAGCTAACCCTAACTCACCGTTGCAAGGCCTGGGCGAAACCGTCGATCGAAGATGGGGGATCATTGGCTGGGCCGCGGGCCGAGCACCGGGTCGGGACCGAGCCCCGGGTCAGGACCAAGCCTCGGGTCAGGACCGGGCCCCTCGTGGCCCAGCGGGCTTCCCTCCGGTCGTAACCTGTAGCTCTACTATCGATTCCTGTTGCATAACACCATCGTTCGTAGAGGCTGCTTCTCGTGGATTGTCACCGATCGTCGCTGATCAATGTCCATTGGAACTGATCTTACTGCTGCAGATTGTCGTCGTCCAGGTTCGTGGATCTACTCATCGCAATGTCGTTCATGGAGTCATGTTTGTAGGGAGGCCGAGCTGCTGCTAGGCGGTGTTGCTGGAGGAGTGCTGGGTTGTCGGAGGGGAGGGATGTGGCGACTGCGAGTGACTCACGAAAACCACTGGTGGGAGAGAAAAAGAGAGAGAGGTATATTGAGAATGAGGTGTATGTGGGTTTTAGGAGAGAAAAAGATTAGGGTTTTGGAGGGTAAAAAATCATATATGGGAGGTGCCCTAAAATTGAGGTTTTTTCCTTACAATTGAATAAGTTGATAGAACACTAAGATACATAATAGATTGTCCTCACCTGTTTGATCAAGTGTACGAGTCAAGTTTTAATAAAGTGGTAAGTCAATACCGATATCATCCTCTGGATTGGGTTTCTAGATCACTCAAGTACCACAGATTCAATTGCTCAATTTTATTTAGAGAATCAAAATCAAATGAGAGAATATAATCAAAGCAAATAAACATGCAATAACAAAGATAAAAACAATGGGGAGAAAGGTCTTAAGGAATTGATTTCACCTATTGAATCTATGAACCAACTACTTAATT